TTACAGGGTCATGTTTTGCTAGCAGGACTTCTGGTTCCTGGACTGATCTTATTTCTCCTTTACTTCCCAGCTGTGGGTGAAGCTCTTCCATCCCCACATGCTGCCCACGTAGTGTCACTGAATAACAAGGCTAGTGATGACCTCTGATGCCTCCACAACTGGGAGCCAAAATGACCTTTCCTGTTACCAACTTGACTAGTCTCCAGGTATTTGTGATAGGATTTTTTGCCGCTGTTGTTTGTTCTCTCTTCTCTCTTCTCTCTTCTCTCCCTCTCTCCCCCTCCCCCTCCCCTCCCCCTCCTCTCCCTCTCCCCTCCCCTCCTCCTCCCTCTCCCCCTCCCGCCCCCCTCCCCCTTCCCCTCCCCCTCTCCCTCTCCCCTCTCCCCTCTCTCTTTCTTGGAGTCTCATGTATCTTAAAGTTGTTTGTGAACTTTCAACCTTAAACTCCTGCCTCCACCTTCTGGAGGAGAATCCACTAGCTTCCATTTTCTGCAGCGCTGAGGATCAATCCCAGAGTTCTGTGCATGCTAGGCCAGCACCCTATAGACTGGGCTCTGCCGCAGTCCAGTTCTGTTGGTTGTAAGCTAACACAGGCCTCCCTGGGGAGAACTAGGACACATGCCCATCTGATCTCATCTCGTCCTGTGAACAGTGGTCCACGAGGCTGACGGCCTCACTTATTTTCTTCTTACTGGCTTTGCAGAAATCCCCTTAAGTGGGATGTAGAGAAGACGACTGGACTGTTTGATTTCCTATCAAGATATAATTAACATATGATAAATGCGCTCATTTAAAATACACCCGGATGCATTTGGACAAATGCATGTGTCCATGTAACAACCATAGTTAAAATAGAACTTTGTAGGCCAGGTGTGGTGGCTCGAGCCTTTCATCCCAGCACTTGGGAGGCAGAAGCAGGAGGATCTTTGTGAGTTCGAGGCTAGCCTGGTCTACAGAGTGAGAATTTGTATCAACGAAAGGAAGGAAGGAAGGAAGGAAGGAAGGAAGGAAGGAAGGAAGGAAGGAAGGAAGCTAGCTTCTGGCTGTAATTCCTTTGGTCTCTAAGGGCCACCAACACCATCATTTCTTTGATGCTGGCTTAATCTCAGCTTACCAGGATTTTATATAAATGAAATCACACTGTAGTCATTATTTTGACTGTCCTTTATTATTCTAAGGAGAGATGTTTAGACTCAGCCAAACATCTTCATTGTCATGTCTGTGGAGAGCTCATTTCTTTTACTCGCTGAGCAGAAGCCCAGGGTATAAACGGACCAGAGTGAGCTGGTCAGCTCTCTGTTGCTGTAACAAAGTACCAGAGACCTTCACTTTAAAAGAGAAGATGGGGAAAGAGAGAAAGAAAGAAAGAAAGAAAGAAAGAAAGAAAGAAAGAAAGAAAGAAAGAAAGAAAGAAAGAAGGAAGGAAAGAAGGAAGGAAGGAAGGAAGGAAGGAAGGAAGGAAGGAAGGAAGGAAGGAAGGAAGGAAGAAAGGAAGAAAGAAAGAAAGAAAGAAAGAAAGAAAGAAAGAAAGAAAGAAAGACAGACATACAGACAGCCGGGCAGTGGTGGCACACACCTTTAATCCCAGCACTTGGGAGGCAGAGGCAGGTGGATTTCTGAGTTCAAGGCCAGCCTGGTCTACAGAGTGAGTTCCAGGACAGCCAGGGCTACACAGAGAAACCCTGTCTCGAACCCCCCCCCTAAAAAAAAAATAAAAGAGAAGATGAGGCTGGAGTGATACATCAACAGTTAAGAACAGATGTTGCTTTTCCAGAGAACTGGGATTCAATTTCCAGAACCCACAGGGTGGTTCTCAGCCATCTGTGGCTCTACTTCCTGGGGATCTGATTTCTTCTTCTAGCCTCTGTGGGCACCAGGCACGCAAGGTGGTACACAGATACATATGAAGGCAAACAAATACTCATAAAATAATAATAAAAAAGGCAGATCACTGTGAGTTCTAAGCCAGCCTCATCTACACACCAAGTCCTAGCAAGAGCTACAATGTACAGACTCTACCTAAAATAATATTGGTAAAAAGAAGAAAGGCTGAAATATAAATAAATAAAATAACCAATAAAAAAAGAAATTCTGCTAGAATTATGCACTAATACTGTTTTAAGTATTTAAAAAAATAAAAAAAGAGGAAAGGCTTAATTTGGCTCATGGCTTCACTGTCTTGCTTCCCCCATGACCTTGCTGTTTCTGGTCACTGTGGGGACTCACAGTGGAGTCAAGACACTAATTCATGGTGGAGCTAAATGGCGAGGGACAGGAGTCCCACTGTCTTCTTCAAGGGGATACCCTGGGGACCAGAGAATGTCCTATTAGTGCCTATCTCTAAAAGGTTTAATCACTTTGTATTAATACAAAGATGGAGACCGTGCCCTTATCACACGAGCTTTTGTGAAGACTCCAGATCTCACTTATATGTCACCTCTCTGGGTGTTAACTCAGGTGTGTGCACACGGACTCTTCCAGTATGGGGCTGCCGTGACCAGCATGGAGATCCACCCTGAATGAACATGTGCTTTAACTGCTCTTGGCTAAAAGCCACACTGGGGACAGTCCTAATCTACTAGTGGCAAGAGCAGAAGCTGACAACTTACTGTTGGAATCTACTTGCTTTGCCAGGGCATAAGCTGTACACCCAAATTCCTCATAATCAGGCAAACGTGCTTCTTGGAGGTTCTAGGGCCCATCCCAGACTTCTGTGAGGGAACAAGGACCTCCCCAGTGAATCAGACATGCCCCAGGATTTGTAAACCACTGAGCATGGAGACGCAGGCAAGAAGGAAAGAAAAAGCCGAAGATAGGGTTGGGGGTGTGACTCAGTGGTAGAGCCCCTGCCTAGAATCCCCCAGTGAGGGGCTGGGGGCGTGGTTCACTGGTAGAGCCCCTGCCTAGAATCCCCCAGTGAGGGGCTGGGGGCGTGGCTCAGTGTTAATGTTCCCAGTCAACATTGTCATCTGGAATTTGAGGGCAGCCTGAACTACACAGGAACATATTTTCAAGCAAAAGAAAACAAACAAATAAAACACATCAAAGTAGTACAGGGACAAATTAGTTTTGGTCAGAGGGCGGGAGATGGGTAAGGATATTGGAGAAGACTGTGGTCAAGGTACATTTTATAACCATGCCTGTAGTCACATGCATGAATTAGGAAAGAATAAATACATTTTGGAAAGAAATGCCTCTCTTGGTTCTTTTGGGGGGGTGTTCCTCCTTCTGGTCCCTGCAGGCTGCCACACCCTGCCCTGGATTCTGGCCTCACTCATGAGTCTGGCCTCCTCCCACTCGCCATGACAGGCCTGAGGTAGGTGGGAGGACTGAGGGGCGTGTGCTGCAGTGGCCCGAGGAGTGTATGCGGTCTTGGGTGTGCCGTGGGCTCTGCTGGTGTTTTCTGGGAACCTGTTGAGGTGTGACAGGGTGACACCTGAAAGGTATATTTGTCACCTCAGCCCTCCTAAGGTCCTAGTGAACTCCAGCTCTTTAGTGTACCCCTCTGTTTCCTGCCGCAGTTCTCTGAGCTATACGTGGAGATGTTACTTGTTATTTGCTGCCACTTCTGCACAGGGCTCTTAGGAAGTTAAAAGGGTTTAACTATCTCACATCAACATAAGCCCGTGACTGAGTTTCTTGATTTAAATCTGATCGCCTTTGAGGATACCTGGGACTTCCTGTGTGTCTGTCCAACTTGCTTTGTCCTTGCTGTGCCACCTCAAGTGAGTCACTAGACCTCTCTGTGTCTCCGTTTCTTCATTGACAAGATGGGTGTAACAACAGGGTGGACTTCCCAGGGATGTGGATATGGAGATGGGATAGCTTACCTCACTTACGGGCTAGGGCATGAGCTTCCCTTCCTGGTGTCTGTCTGCGGCCATCTTGTTTTCTGAAGGACAGGCAGCACAGAAGTGTGCGGGCCTGGCCTGGGAGCGTGGGGATGGGCATGGGGATAGAATGGTAGGACACACAGGGCATGGTGAGGCAAGCTTGTGCACAATCATTTGGCAGATAGAAGCAGCAAGGCTAGCCTGGGCTACATAGCAAGTTCAAAAAACAGCCTGGGCTAAGGCTTTGTCTGGAAACAAAACACAAAAGCCCCCAAACAACAACCACAGAAGCCAGTAGTAGCAGGGATTGGAGAATTCAGGCCCCGTATCTGCTTATAAACTACCCATCTTCTCTCTGCTCCGCCTCTTCCTCGGTGAAATGTGTTTAAGAGCGCCGATGCCGATGCCGAAGAGCACTCTGGCAAGCAGAGGCACCAAAGCTCCCCAGTGCTGATGGTGTCTGCCTAGGGAGAGCCAGACCGGGCGGGAAATGGGGCCACAGACAGGAAGTGGCTTTGGGTATCTGGCCCTACAGGTTCCTCACGCCCCAAAGTCCTGCCTGCACTGTGCCCCGTCCTCTCTCGGGGAGGAAGCGGGGAGGGACACAGTTACCCAGGAAAAATAGACAGTCGGGGGGCTGCTGCCTCCAGACCCTCCCGGATTCCCCACCTCTGACGCCCCCGTCTGTGCTTCCAGCCTCTTTCGGATTAACCCATTTCGCTCTCCAGGACCAAAAATAAATAAATAAATAAATAAATATTCCGAGAGCCTCCGGTGTGTCCCAGGAGAGAGCCTGAGGCTGGAACCCTGCCCATTCCGGAAGGGGAAAGGGGGCGTTGGCTTTAACTGGCCTCAGTTTTGCTAGGCCAGCCTTAAGGAGGACACACTTCATTAGAGAGCTTGACATTAGCCCCAGGGGTCAGGCGAGGTCCTCAGCTGGCCCCGGAGAAACTGGGGCAGAAGAATGAGAAGTTGAGGAGGCAGGGTCTGGACCACTTTTGAGAGAGGAGGCTGGTGGCTGGACCACTGCGTCTGTGGGTGGAGGGCTGGGGGACTGGAACGCTAGGTCAGGAGGAGGAGGACCTTGCAAGCAGGCCTCCTGGTCTGAGGGAGGAGGGCCCCGGGGGCTCAGATCCTTCCCCTAACACGCCCCCTCTTAAATGCCTAATGGCTTGTCCCGCCCCTCCACCCCCAGTTAACCTGGATCTTAGGAACCACGACCCAGTCGCCCAAACCTGAGGGATGGAGAAGACACCCGAGAGAGACGCTCTCAGTGGCCGGATGGAAGCCGAGGGGTCCCAGAACTCCGAGGAACTGCCACCGCATCCTCAGTCCCCGCCACCACCGCCGTCCCCAAGGTCTCCCACGTCCCCGGTGACCCCCGAGCTCCCGCAGCCCAATGCTCCGACCGAGGTTGAAGCCAGGCAGCTGCTGGTAGAAGAATGGGGACCCCTGAGCGGGAAGCTGGAGCTGCCCCCGAGCGTCAGCTGGCAGCTGCTGTTCCTGGAGCGGCCACTCTACCGCAACCTGCTCAGCTCACCCAACCCAGAAGGTGGGGACGCAGCCCCTGGCGCGCTGCTCAGATCCTCCGTCTCTTCGTCTGTTTCTCTCGGCAGGCATCTCTGCCCCGTCGGTCACTGCACTTCTGTATCTCCCTATCTCTGCCCTACTCTGCATCTTGTCTCTGTGTGTCTTTCTGTCTCTGTTTCTCTCCCTCCTCTGCCCCTTTCTCTAGATTTCTTCCAGAGCTCCAGAGACTCACCATAACCGCCCACCAACGTCCATAGTCCCTGCTAGGCTGGTCCAGCCCGGCTAGGGTTTCTGCCCTTCCAGTATAGCCCCAGGGGTAGGAAGACTTGAGGAGGTGGGCACTGGCCTGAGGCTCCATTCCCTTGTGTGATTCAGGCATTAATATCTACCAGCCGGCGCCCCCTACGGGTCCCACCCGGAAACCCCTGCAGGAGCTGGGTAAGCAACTGGGGCCTCTTCCCCGGGAGGAGGGTGCCCTTCAAGGAATGCCCCACCAATCCTTCTATCCTCCTCACTGGCCAGGTAATTTCCGTGGATGGTACATTACTACCGAGAACCTCCAGGGGCCCCTCAGGTGAGTTGCCACAGGGTCTGGGGGTGGGAGTGGGGGAGGAGGAATTGTTCTCCTCTAGCTTTCTTTGCTGAGGCGCCTGCAGAGGGGCCTCTCTTTCTTGCTCTGGTGACAGGGTTAGTCATAATTGACTGCCTATGAAACATGCAACATAGGCGCCCAAGATGTCTGGCCAGCACACTGTAGGTGTTTGATAAACCTTGAGCTCACCCTTTCCCTGGGAGTCCCAGCCCCAGTTCAGCTCCTAAACGGTGGATGAGAGGGTGTAATTCAGAGGCTCAGAGTCAAATCCCAGCTTTTCTAAATTTGTTTTTTTTTTTTTCAAATGAACTGATTAAAGTACCCCTTAAACTAGATAAATCTCTAGGGTTTGTGAGTTTTGGTTTTTTTTTTTTTTGGACTGAGCCACGCCCCCAGCCTCTCACTGGGGGATTCTAGGCAGGGGCTCTACCACTGAGCCACGCCCCCAGCCCCTCACTGGGGGATTCTAGGCAGGGGCTCTACCACTGAGCCACGCCCCCAGCCCCTCACTGGGGGATTCTAGGCAGTGGCTCTACCACTGAGCCACGCCCCCAGCCCCTCACTGGGGGATTCTGGATAAGTGCTCTCCTGATGAGCCATGCTCCTAGTCTGGTTTTTATTTGTTTGTTTATTTGTTTGTTTGTTTGTTTGTTTTGTGTGTGTTTCTTTTCTTTCCTTTTTTTTTTTTTGAGGTAGGGTCTGACTAAGTTGCCCAAGTAGGCCTTGAACTTCCAATCCTCTAACTCAGTCACTAGAGCAGCTGAGATTCCAGGCCTGGATCCAGTCATCACCTTAAGTGTCAGCTCTGTCCTGGAGCAGAGGGTTTGTGTACATTGTTCTCCAGGTTCTCCTGGGAACCAAGACTGTCAGCTCCTCACGTGCAGGGGGGTAGGGGCTGAGGGGGAGGGTCTCCTGCTGTTTCTAGAGCTCTGTCACCATGCTTCCTGCTCCCTGGGAGACCTCAGGACTGTGGGATTGCCAGGCCCATCTCCTCTCTTGTTTGTCTGAAGCTGGACGGTGAAGGAGCAGTGCGTGAACCTGTTGGCCAAGAAGCTGTGGGAGGAGCTACTGGATGACGAACAGCCTGACATCACCATCATGGACTGGTGTGCCCCGCCCTCCCTGACTGCCTGACCATGCCATCCAAGGCTCACCAGAGCTCAGGCTACCTTGCTCCCGAGGGCCTGAGCCCTCCCCATCAACACCCCCTGGCTCTGTGCTCTGTGGTCTCACCTGGTCCTGCCCCCTCTAACCCCAACCTTTGTATCTTTCAGGGGTCAGCTAGGAGGGTTCCCTCTGGGCCAGGCTGTTCCTTTATCCCCCCACCCTCCCCCCACCCCCGAAGCCTGTGCCACTCTGATTTTTAGACTCATTTTTCTCCTATTAAGAAGATACTTTCTTTCACACAGCTCCAACTGGAAGCCTACTCCTGTCATACGGAGGGGCCCTATATGAATTTGCTCCAAAGTCCTGCGTTCCCCACCCTACCCCTAAACTCCACCCGCACCCTCTTTGTGCTCTTACCCTCTGCCTTTTCCCCATATCACCTCAACTTCTGCCTGTACCCCTCCATCTACAGATGTAGCCGTCACTATCGGTGACGTATTACTTCCCCGCTCCCCCTGGACAGTGGGTCTCAGAGAACAGAGCCCGGGGTTGTCTTGGTCTCCGCCAGCCCAGGGCTCGGGGGCTAGATCTGGAGATTGTGTGTCTGGGCCTAGGACCAGGGCTGGGGGAATGAGATGATGTTGTGGCTGCATGGCAGTCACGGCCTGAACCTCCTCCAGGTTCGAGGACAGCCGCCTAGACCAGTGTGTTTATGAGCTGCACGTCTGGCTGCTAGCAGCTGACCGCCGCACGGTCATTGCCCAGCACCACGTGGCCCCTCGGACCAATGGGAGAGGACCCCCTGGCCGCTGGGTTCAGGTGAGATGCGCTGCCAGGTCCCGCCCACACAGGTGTTCTTTCCCAAGACCTTGGGCGGCGGGAGGAAAGGATGTGAGCAGGCTGACGGGACCCTGGTGAGACTTTCTTCCTAACTCCGGGTTGCCACAGGTGTCCCACGTCTTCCGCCAGTACGGCCCCGGAGTGCGCTTTGTCCACTTCCAGCACAAGGCTAAGAACCGCATGGAGCCTGGGGGACTGCGGAGGACAAGGGTGACCGACTCCTCCGTGTCGGTGCAGCTCCGGGAGTGACCTCTGACCGGGCTCTCCTGGGCTGATGTGGTCGAGCCTTTGGAAGTCCCTGATGTTTGTCACCTCCGAGCCCTTGGCGTTTCTATGACGCTTCCTGGCTTCTGCCCTTTGCGCAAGCGCGCGCGCGTGTGTGTGTGTGTGTGTGTGTGTGTGTGTGTGTGTGTGTGCTTAGCAACAATCTGACCCCTCTTCATCCCCGACCCTTCCTATTCCACAGACCCCACTCCTCACCCGACTCTTCCTCATCCCTTAAACTCTCATTCACCTGACCCCTTCTCATGCTCCTTACCCCTCTGTACCTCCTTGACCCTCCTCACCCCCCGACCCTGCTCACCCCCCGACCCTGCTCACCCCCGACCTTCCCCCCACCCTGCTTACGCCCTGACTCTCCTCACCCCCTCCCTCCTCTTTGATGCCTCCTTACCTTCTGCCTGAACTCTCTTTACCTCCCTGAGCCCCTCTCACCCCTCTGGCCTTTCTTTACCTCCTCGACCCCCTCCTTATTCCCCCCATCCCTACTCATCCTCCGACCCTCTTTCCTCCTGACCTCCTCATCCTTCTGACCTTCCCTCCCCTCCATGACCTTCACCACCCCCCCTTCACCTCTGGTGCGTGACTCTGGGCAGGGCCGCCCCTTGCAAACCAACTGCTTGTCTGATGTTGGTGAATAAACCTTCGGAGAGTGAGTGGCTCTAAGAAAACACGGTGCCCAAATAGGCTGGTTGTCGGCCTGTTCTCTGTTCGTTAAAACCCCACAGTCCACATCTCACCCACTCAGCCAGTCCTTGAACTCCAGGTACTTCTGTAACCTCTGGGTCTTTTTCATTGACCGTGACCTCTGACTTCTGAACTCTTATATGCAGTGCTGGGAATCGAACTCAGGTTGTTTTGTGTATACTGGGCAAGTTTTCTACTGCTGAACTATATCCTCAGAGCTCTTTTTCTTTATTGAAATTCTGTGACTGGGTCTAGTTAAGTGGCACAGGCTGGCTTTTAATTTTTAATCTTCTGCCTCAGCCTTTTGAGTAGCTGAGGTTACATGTCTGCACCACTGGGTCTAGCCTGACTTCTAGTGTTTCCTTCTACCTTGTGGGTGCTGGAGATCTAACTGCGGTTGTAAGGACTGGTTACAAGCCGCTTTATGTGCTGATCCATCTCACAGGCCCCTGACAGCTGATCTTTTTATATCCCCCAGTGTGTGCCTCTGAGGTATTGCCACTTACCTCTTCTCCCTCATCCCTTATCTCTCAGAATCTCCCCAAATCCCAGTCCTGTCTCCAATCTATCCTGGGCTTCATTCCTGCAGGGTACTTCCCATTTTTCTGCTCAGGACATCCCAGAAACACCCAAACCAGACAACCACTAAAACTCTCATGCCTGGGGCAACGGTGAAGCAGAGATCACAACCTGAACAGAAATGTACATTTAAACTAAAGTGTCTTCTGTATGTCAGGGCAGGATGTCAAATGTAACTAACAACCCAGTGTCAAGTCTTTAAATCCAGCTACTAAGGAGGCTGAGGTAAAGGGCTCTCAAGTTAAAAGACAGCCTGGGCAACTTAGTTAGACCTTGTTCCAAAATAAGTAAAAGAGGGATATGGGTGTGGCTCAGTGGTAGAACCCCTGCCTAGAATCCCCCAGTGAGGGGCTGGGGGCGTGGCTCAGTG